ATGACGCTCGCTGTCTATCCATCAAGAAACACAGTCTTCCATTCAGATCATGGCACACGCCACCCTGTCCGTATTCCTAAATCATTCGAGGCGCCAGGCGTGTTCCAGACGCAAAACTCCGTTGATCCCCAATGCCCAGGTATCTAAAGTACAACAAAACAAGACGCAACGCAATGCCGGCTCGAAAGCAAATGCAGGTGCAGCTCGTGCAAAATCAAGCAATGCGAGCCACGCTACAGCTTCTTCAGCTGCTTCCTCGGTACCGTGTCGACAAAGGCGTGACTCAGAAAATGCATCCACGCCTTGTTCTTCTTCTTGTTCTTCCTCTTCTTCTTCTTCTTCTTGTTGCCCTTACCCTCTATCTCCATGTCGTCTTCGTCAGCACTGAGCGCCGAGTCTTCGTCCTCTTCCGCCATTTCTTCGCCTTCATCCTCTTCGTCGTCTTCGTCCACCAGATCAAGGTCGTCTTCGTCTTCATCTTCGTCTTCATCTTCGTCTTCAAAGTCTTCGGGCTCGCCATCCTGGCCCTCGAGCGCCTCGGCCGTCTTGCCCTTGACCTTCTGCTGCCCGATTCGGAACGCAAGCTTGACGTAGCTTCGCACCGTCATGTCTTTGAGCCTGTAGATCTTGTCCGTAAACGTGCTGTACTCGACCTCAAACTTGAACGGGTTGGGTTTCGGCTTCTTCGTCTTGGGATCCTTGCCCCTGTGGATGCCGTCCTTCCAGCGCTCTGCAGACGCGCCGCCTTCGTCGTGGTTCCCCCCGTTGCCGTCGTGGGTCATGTCGTTGTTAAGATACGTCAGGTTGGCAAAGTACTGCGTGTAGCCCAACAGCGTCAGGGGCTGGGGTGAGTAGGCTGGGCCCGGCGGCGCGTGCTTGGCTGGGGGTTCGGGCATGACCAGGTTCGGGTCTTTGGGCTTCTTTCCCTTCTTTCCCTTTTTGCCCTTTTTGCCCTTTTTGCCTTTTTTGCCCTCCTTCTTCTTGTGCTTTCCCCCTTTTGATGCCTCAAAGTCGACGCCATCGTCATCCGAGTCGTCTTCCTCATCATGATCCTCATCGTCGGTCGTGTCAGCCATTGTCGCCGTGGGCCCTTCAACCTCATCGTCTTGCGCAGCCGCCAAAGGTGATACGTGCTTATCCCACTTCTGCTGACTGAACGAATCGGTCCAGACAGCGGTGTTCTCGAGCCCCTCAATGTTGTACTCGTAGATGCGGAGCGTGGGGAAGTAGTTTGGCACAATACTCGGGCTGATCAGGGACAGGTGGTAACGTTCGGCGAACTTGCCGCCAATATCCTTATGGCCTTTGCCCTTGTGGCCCTTACCCTTCTTGCCTTTACCCTTCTTCGCCGCATCGACCGAGTCTTCGGCGCTGTCGTGAGACATGTCATCGTCCTCCACGGCATCTTCCAGGTCGTCTTCCATCAGGGACTTGACGCCAGCGATGGGAATCTTGGCCCAGCCGCGGCGCAGCTCGCGAAGATAGTCAGACGCCGAGGCCACAGAGAAGTCGTCCTCAAAGTTCTCCCGCATGCGGAGATCTTGCGCCTCGCGTATCGTGCCGGTATCAGGCTTGCCGTTGATGGAGGCGAAGTTAATGTCCCTTGTGTCCTGCAGAATAAAGTGGTTGATGTTCATATGGCCCCAGAGGGTGGCGGTGATGACGTCGCGGTACTGACGCAACCACAGGTTGTACTTTTGCCAGCACGTCTCGTCCCAGTTCTGCTTGCTGTTGGTGCGAGCGGGAGGGACGTGACCCATGAGGATGACTTTCATGCCGCGCTCGCGCATGACTTGTAACTGGATGCGCAGCCACTCCATCTGCATAAAGCCAGGCTCAGAGGGAGTGGTGCAGCCGTCGACGGCAGCATTTCGATCAAAGAGGTAGAGCGTGTTGAGGCTAAAGACGGCCAGACGGTTCGGGATAACTTCGACGTTAAACCACCCGCCGAGGTCAAAGGTGTGACGTTGCTCCTCCGGGATGAAGTGCCGCCATATATCGGTGTAGTATTGCAGCCATCGCGTGGGGCCAGGAACCAAGATGTTGTGCGGCAGGATGTCGTTGTTGCCCAGATTCGGCACAATGGGCACGGCAAGGCGCTGTCCATTGTGAGGGGCGGAGAAGGTCTCGTAGAAGAGGTCAGCGACGCGGCGGTTGGTGCCGAGGACCTGACGTTGGTTTCGAGGTATCTTCTCGTCTGAGTCGTGTCGAGCCGTGTCGCCGGTCCAGATCACAAAGTCAATGTCGTCGACGACGTTTTCTCGTATCCATTCGAGCGTGGCATTGACGAGAGTAAAGGGCGAGTCGCAATCCGACGTCTCGGCGCCGTAGTAGCCGGCCGGGCCCTTGGAACGGTGGCAGGCATAGCCCTCGCCGGTCGACGTATGGGCCTTGTAAAAGTCGTCGGGGTGAAGATCGGTGATGTGCAGAAACTTGCCGCGAAGCTTTCGGGGCTTGGAAGCCGGTGACGGCGCAGACGACTCGTCTTGAATGTGGGGGGTTGTCGCGCCCGAGTCCTGGGTGCCGCCATCTGGTGCGCCGAGAATCTTCTGCTGTGCGTCGACGTCGAGGGGCGAGGCGGTGACGGCGACGCCATGGTGCAGCAGTGGAAGCGCGAGCAGCGCGAGGTACCGCAGACGCGGCCGCGGTCGCGGGTGGAGGACCATGGCGGGGGATGTTCGCAGCCTGTATCCGCCAGTTCGAGGTACGCTGTACGTCTGGTACGCTGTAATCGTCGTAATGGTGGGGAGGCGCTGCACCTGTGGAAGGGGGGCGGCAGCGGCGGTGGTAGGTGGGCGTCACCAATCCAGGGTTCGCGGCGTCAGCGTGTGTCAAATGGGATACTTCGCTTTTGCATGTCGCACGTACGATCGATGGCACGACGCACAAACCTTTTTGGATAAAACTCGGGCCAGACGGAGATGATGTTGAAGTAACTAGGAAGACAACGGCTTCGAATGAGGCTGGCGGTGATGGATGATGTGCCAGCTCCTGGAATGGAAGGAATGCTCGTCTGGACTTGCCTGAAGGTAAGGAGGAAGGGCAAGGAAGGACCCACGTCACCGCTGTGTACGTAGGTACGTTGGGCTTGGCCGTTCGAAAGCCACCAGCTATTTTAAATCGGGCCAACAACTCCGGGGACGCTCAGCGCGCCCAGTCTTTCGAATCACCATCCGAAGCAACGACGGCTCTCGAGTCAATGACCATCAGGGTATGCTGCCGCATCTGCATGACTTCCAGCGACGGGGACGACCACAAACGTCGCACGAGACCGCTGGAGTGAGCGCTGGCTCGATCCACGGGGTCTGTCGACGTTGTCTTGGCGCGAACCAATCCTGGGCTGGCATGCCACCCACGTGCAGAGTGCGAGCTGCTGCTGGACGTCGGTATATCTGCGTTACGACTCATGAGGGGCTCAGAAGGATGATGATCAGAAGGTGTATCTATCTGCATGGTGACCAACATGGTCAATACAACGCATCGTGTGGCCTGCTTGTTTGTCCTCTGTTGCGTGATACATGTACCTGGCCTGACTGGTATCTAGGTAGGTACATAGGTGCGAGGGAGCCAGCAGCCACCACCTGGCAAAGCCCCGGCGCCTCAGGCTGCTTACGTGACCAGGCCCCTCCT